GTATGTATGTCATTTAAAGAATATTCTTATAAAATTTTTTGTTGAGTTTACTCGACCAAAAACTCGGATTTTTTCAAACAACTGGATTATTGTTCCACAAGAGCTTCCACAAATTGAGCTAGACAAAAGAGCTGTATATAAAAAAGCAAATATCGAAAAAAATTTAACCTTTTATATGGAACTGCATTATATTGTAGTTAGGTGGCAACAGTGGCAAATAACACGAGGCAGCAAAAGGATACTTAATCTTATATTATACCGCCGAGAGGATTCAATTTTTCATTTTACGTTAGATTTACTCAAGTTTTTTGATGACGTCAGCTGGAAACTGAATAAATATGTACTCGTATTTGCAGTCTTTTTTAACCTTAATATAATTGAAATTAAATTTTTTTTCTTGAATCAAAAACAAGAACTTAATTCGAGTAAAACCGAAGATAAGTTCCCTACTATTTCGGTTATTTGTAAAATAAAAGTGATTGTAGGCCATCGCCAACTTACTTATGTACACACTTGCAAAGGTGCAGTCAGACGTAGCAATATTAACACAATTTTTTTATTTTTTAATGCGTGGAGTTGTCAAAAATTTTTAATTTCGACTCGTGACTGAACTCGTGTATCTGCAATTTAAATTTAGCAATTGAATTTTCAATTACGCGTGCTGCACTGCCAATTTTTATTTTTTTTAAATTTTCTATCAAATGATTTGATTGTCAAAGGAGATTTCAAAAAGTTGTTGTGAAAAAACAAGTTTCCACAACTTGAAATTCAATTTCGATACATTTTTATGCTACGTAGGACTGCGTTCAAAATTAATTTTCTTGAGTTGAAACTGATATGCAATTTGAAATGTTTTTTCCAGCTTGGTCGCGTTAGATTTTTTGTTGTCTTAAGAAATCCTATTTCAAAGTATGTAGTGATCAATACAAGGGCATTAGAATTGAACTAAGCCGAGTGATCGGCTCAGTTTAGAATCTTGGTAAAACCAAAACCCGAAATTATAGAAAAGAAGTTAACTGCCGTCGCCGCTTCGAAAATACATCAGGGTGTATACCTCGGCTGGAAATCAATTCAGCGGTTCTACGAAATGTTCATTCTTTAAGTAGATTAAAAAAGAAATAACTACTTAAATTGAGTTTCCATCTGTCATCAACTGGTCCCTGTAAGACCTTGCAAGCAACCGGAATTCAAGGCGTTAGCTGAGCGGAGTAAAAACCAAAGAAAATAGAGAATCCCTAGTAAATAGTTATGTTACATATAAGTAAAAGTTTGAAGCCATAATATTATATGCCACCTTACTTCATAAAGATTTGAAAGAAAAAATTTTTAATTGAAGAACTTTGCCGTTACCAGCATAAGAAATTTAGCTGAAAAAAGAGACAAAAAATTTAAAATTTTATTATATACAACAATCTGGCAGCATCAGATATTTTTCGAAAAATACGGGAAAATTCAGTATGAAAACAAAATAAAAATTTTATATATATTAACAATTTTGGAGTTCCAAATTAATGCAAATCAGTTTCAAAATTAAAATTTTTGCTTTTCGTCATAGTGAAATATGTCCTCCATTTTATTCTAATATGCACACATACAAAATCACTTGCGTATGTATATTTCTTTTGTGCAGTTAAAGCAATGTATAACAATATTAATTGTGATAGCAAATAGTGTCGCTAACAACAATAATAACAACAGGAATAGAAGTAATACATATAGATATAGACATAACCATAACAGTACACACACACACACATGTACACACTTTGACTTCAACACTAAATTCCAACACACATTGAAATAACTGAGAACGCACAACAACAGTAATAAGCACAGTAACAACAACAACAATGGTCATTAGCATTCATGCCTAATATCAGGTGAAAGCCGTTCGTGGTCGGACATGCGAGGGAGGCAATGGCTAAGCAAAATTAGTGTTTCAGCTCATTACTAATGGCCATTGGCCATTCGGCTGTCCGGTTCTACGGCTGTAAGGCCGACGAACCGCTTAGGTGGGTCGTGGCTACGTGGCTATGTGGCACGCAAAATAGCAACGCTGCACAAATGACCGCTGGTAAATTATCCTAATTATAAACATAAATAATTGAGTGATTTTCTGCAAGATTAATTCGTGCTATCACATACAATAATAAATGAATTTCCTACATAGCTATGCTTGTATGTATATAGATGAGCGTGTGTAATAAATTGTATAGGCAACAACGAAAACAAAACTCAGAACACCAACACCAACGAGGAGTAAAGTAATGACAAAAATTATATTGGATTGGCTTTTAGTTGTTTGTATTTATGTGCACGTTTGTATGTAGTGGTGGTGTTAAGTAGGTCGTACCATCTAGCCGAATTCACAAAAGATTTAGTATTTGACAAAATATATAAGTACAAAAGCGCAAAGTGGATTTACGCTTAAATGAATAGAAGAATATATTACACATGCTTCTATATGTATATAAATATTATTTTTTATTATCCTACACTTATTTCTGAGAGTCAGAGAAAATTACTTTGAAAAAACTCATTTTTAAATATGGGATTTTAAGATTAAGCAACCAAATAATTACTGCAAATATAGATATATTTTATTTGACCAGGAATTAATTAAATTGATTGAATTAATTAATTTGCAAATTTAAAAAATAAATTATTTTTATACTGAATTAACAAAATATCAATAATTTTAGGTTAACAGAACAATCGGTTGAATTAATTAATGTTTAATATTCATTCATCTAATATACACATTAACTTGAATGAATACGTTTTAATTACCCCTTTTGTACTCAATAAATTTTACTAATCGTGAAACTGATTTTGTATTAAAAAAATTTCAGAATAATATTTTTTTAAGGCTTCTCCTGCGTTAGAGGGTCAGAAAAATCGATTTTTTGAAACTTATCTCATTCGATTAGAACTATATTCAGATATATTTCCACAAAATTTCAGAGTCAAATTCCTAATCGTTCCGCAGAAATGGCCTCCGAGAGACAATGCACTCAGGAGACTGATAAGCGGGCGCGAGAACATTGAACGTGATTTTCTCAAAACAGTGTTTTTCTGTAAGTTGTAATTGTCGCATAAATGATACCTTTTTTACAGCTAATAGTCTATGTGAACTTAAAAAATCACAATAAAAATTTTTTTTTAACTTTTTTCAATAAATTATCTTAAAATTTCTTAAGAAAAAAATAAATTATTTTATAAATTTCTTTAAACATCACATAGCAGAGCAACTCCTAGGCTACAAAAAAAGTATTCGTTTTTATGTTTCAGACAAAAACTGCGATCGCTATCGTGTTCACAAAATAGACTCTTCGAGCGAGAAGTGTCACAAACAAACACGAATTGTTATTGCTTAACAGTATCAAATAAAGTGAAAGTAAATATTTTTTGCAAGATTTGTGTATCTATGACCAATTTCAAAAGTACTAGAAACATTTCATGCGTAAGGCAGCCTAAAACACTGTGCCGAATATCATGCAATTTTTAGCGTTCTACACCAGGTTCCCCCCCTTAAACTACAATATTTGGAGCAAATATTTTTGTTTTCAAAATTAACTTAAAAGAGGCGAATAAAAACACTTTGCTGTTGCTGACACCTACTACTCGATTTTAGCCGAGTTAAAAATAATGAAGCGGCTTCATTTATACCAAGTCCATTTCCACATAGGATAGGTCTTACTCTGCCTCTACTAACAGCACCTGCGATGAATACTATAAACTTGCTAGCGCCATTTATTCGCAAAACTATGTCAATTTTGCCAGATAACTCGTACAACTCATCTCTCCATAGTATGTGGTATTCGCCATTGCCAATTTGCAATCAGCAAAACGGTTCTGTCGAAAACTTCACAGTTATATAAAGGCATCGTCAAGACATAGAGTTTTTTCTATCTAAGTAGAGCACTGCTACTGCATAGTTTTAGTGAAGTTTAGTTTCTTGGAGCTCTACGTGTCGTATGTATGGATTCTTCTCTACTCAAATTACCTCACGGGAGGAGTATGAAAAAGGCGCACAGAGCCATTCGACGAAGGAATCAAAGTCTGTCGACACAATCGGCGCGAAATCGAAATTTTGATCTGATAACTCAGAAATTGTTTGGCTCACTCATGGTCAGCTTCAAAACTATGAAGAAATACTTATGATCAATGTCTGTGACCTAGACTTATTTATAAAACTAAAATCATAGGGTACCTAGCCATATTGGTAGTGCGGAAAGCTACAATGCTGATGAGCTTGTAGCTATGGGTTACACCCACTCCACATCTAGACAGTGATGGTTGTTGGAAAGGTGAGCGCTCATTGGTGGCACCTCAACATACACGGTTGTGAAGCTCTTCTGGCCCAAGTGAGTGAAGTATAATGTAGTGTTCGGCTTAAGGGGTACGGTCAAACTTTTTTTTTGCAATTGGTTTTAAAGTGAAACAAATATTTCAAATAACTGAACTTTTTATTTTGCTGCAGCCCCTCAGAGCGTGCGGTGAGTGCAATGAAAACTTTAAACGCGTATTTCTCAAAATCAAATTTTTCAAACTGGCAGGGCATTTTATTCGGACCCTTTTGCATGGACTTAACTAAAATTTTGGTGGTAGCCTCGCAAATAGATTTTTTTTGGTAGTACGTAGCCGTTTTTCGATTAAATATAAACTGTTTTTTTATAATTTAGTGATTTTTAGTCAAAAATCAATCTAAAAAAAAAAGTTTGCTACTTTCACAAAAATTAGTTCAAAACCAATCCATACGTGCTTTCAAAGACCGTAGATCGTAGATCAAAAAACTTTTTGCTTTTCCTTCCTAGGTCTCACCCTGGAGAAGAAATCGATCTTTCCATGAACTCCTTTAAAAAAAAAGTGGATTAATTATGAGCTTTATTGTCGCCATTTTGAAACAAAATAATAAATAAAGAATATTTTTTTATACATCGATATATATTCAATGAAATTAATAACAAGAAATTCTATTGCTTTTCCTTAAAAAAATTGTCTATTTTGGCTTTATCCCTTAACATAACCTAGCAACTAAATCATTAAAAGTGCTTATTCAGAAATGAAAATTTCCCTTCTACAATGAGTCGCTAGGAGCTTTAGTAAAATACATAAAAATCGTTCTGAGATGTATAAACGTACATATATATATAATAAATAAATAATACAAACATAAATATCTACAATATGCAACTTCTTATCTCCATCTACACCCATTCTATTTTAACTGTTCTTTAAAACTCAATCACATTACTGAGGAAAAAAACGCACAAATCAAATCATGAGGTGAAGAAGAGAGAAAATTATCGCTTGAAAATAAGACATAACAAAAGACGAAGGAATCACTTGTCGCAATTGTCCAATTTGTACTCATCAAATATTGAAAAGTCACCGTTGAAAAATGCCAATTCTTGCTGACCAAGTGTTTGCACAAATAGCGGACAATTTTGTTTGTTTGTATTTGTATTTGTGTACGATGAGTGTGTGCAAACGTATTTTTGCAGTTGTCAGCAATTTTTTTTATTTATTTTGGAGCAGCACATTCTTCAGCATTCACGTTTTATAACATCTTTTCTTCAATATCCTGCAATTGCAGTTGACAGTGCGAACGCCTCTACTCTCTCTTCTGTTCTCTCTTTTCCTCTCCGCAACTCCAACAGCAACAGCGGGAAACCACAGCCTTTGTTGACACCGCTGACGGCATTGCCTCTGCAGCCATTTCACAGTTATCTGCTTGTGGTGCTGATTTTTTCCGATTCATTCCTCGTTCCACGTCGCTCATTGCTCGTTGTTGTCCTGCAACGGTAAATATTAATTTCATAGCATAGAATTTAAAATTTCCCATTTTCACATTTCTTATGCTGTTTGTGGCACCTGGACGCCTCCACACTACTGTCATACTGTAGCTGTTTTTGTTGTTGCTTCCATTCCTACAATAGTTTCACACTTTTTCCGGTGAAAAAGAATTTGCATTTCTTTCGTTGATGCTGCCTTTAGCAAGCCTTGCTCTGGCATCTTTGTGCAGAGGGAAATTCGAAACGAGTTTCCTTGTTTTTTTTTTTTTTTTTTTTGGAAAAATATCAAAGCAAAAAAGAAATAATTTTTCTGCTATCAAACTACAAAAAGGGACATTTGCTCGATTTTATACTGAATGCGAAGGGTTTCTCAATTAAAAGCAAAGCTGTATAAAGTTTTCGAATTTTTTTTTTTTTAAATCAAATTATGCACATAAATTTTTGTTCAAATTAAAGGAAGAACTAATATCAAAACTAAAAGGTTTTCCTTCTTTTTTAATTGAATATTACGCAGTACAAAATCTCTCAGGTAAACTGCAACAAAACAATCAATTTATCTGCGCTGACGGATTAATGAATGCATTTCAAATTAGACTGCGACACTTGCAATTCTTTTGCGAAAAAGCAACCTGAAATAAAGAGATTAGTCATTCGCGGGAGGCAGAGAAAGGCAAAAAAATCTGAATTGATTTAATTTGATTAAAGAAAAATTGAAAAAGCTTCGTAAAGAAAAAAATGAGATTGGCAGCAATTCCGTTCCTCGGCTTCAAAAAAAGAGCTCAATAACTGCGTGAAAGTGGTTCAAAGTGCACTGAAGCAAAGCAGGAAAAAACACGTTCAAAAATCATTACAATCTCTACCAGCGAGTTCTGGTACTAACTACTCTTGGTGGCGTACATTTAAAAGTTTTGAAATTCCGCTCATTTGCGAACCTCCGTTTTGTGCTCAGAGCGTCGAGGAAAAGGGTTTCCCATTTGCCGTGTATCTCTCCAATGGTATTACTCCTAATCTTGGAACCAAATTTCCTCCGAAATTTCATTAAGATTTCAATTAAAATTTTATGCAATTTAATTTTAAATTAATTAAAAAAAATTGTTACCAATGATAATAACAAAAAAATGTCTCACCTGTCGCATGATAACGGTTGGCATGATAAGATTTGACATTTGATAAAGTGTGGCTAGATGACCGATTATACCTGAAAGTTTCCGGATATTGTCAATTAACCTGCCTGCGCTGAATATTTTTCAGCACATTTTTGGGTTAAGTTCGTAGCGCTGTCCTTAATTACTATGCCAAAAATGAGCGCGATCTGTCAACCAGTTTGTTTGCATCAGGTATTGAAATCAGTTAGTCTCAGTTCCCTCTGCGAATATTCTTTTACGGGCTTAATCGAGCCGAAACGGGTTCCACGGATCGGTAGCTGGAGTTTTGGAAACAAACAGAAAATCGCATGGGGTCAAATCCGGTGAATACGGTGCTTAATCAATGGTATTGGACGAGTTTTTGGTCTAAAAATCGTTCACAACTACAGATCGGTGCGATGGCGCATTATCGTCATGAAAGTTTCAGGAAACTGTTGACCAACAATTTCGGCCGTTTATGATGGATGTTTCCTTGCAAACGCCACAAAACTCTCAAATAATACTCTTTATTGGCCGTCTGTTTCACAATGAACTTTAGTGGATGATGATCTTTCGCCATCTCATCTCATATTTCAGTTTTACTATTTCATGAGTTCTGAAAGGTCAGTGATATCTAGTGAATACCTCAAAAGTTCCCAGCCAAGCTCTCTCAGTTTTTGGGGAAAGGGCAAAGATGAGTGTGGTCTAGGATTTTCCTGGTTCAATATGACACCTTTGCGATTGACTGATTCTGGCCGCTTTCCGTTGATGGTTGTACTCAATTTGTTCAGTTGTTCACAGTAGATATTCGAACTAATCGTTTGGTTTTTGGGAGAAACTCAAAATATACCACATCCGTCCTATCCCACCAAACGGACAGCATAATCTTCTTTTAATGAATATCAGCCTCTGAAGTGGTTTGGGGCGTTTCATCATGCTTGGACCAAACTCGTTTTCGACTAACGTTGTTGTAAACAATTAATTTTTCATCTCCAGTTACGACTTTCTTCAAAAACTGATTAAATTCATTGAGTTTGCGATGCATATCATAAGCGTTATCCAAATATAAGATGAAAGCCTTAATATCGTCATCATCAACTTCACTTAGCCGATCTGGACGTAGCTTATCTTGAACATATAAAAAAGTAATAAAAAAATATATACTATATATTATATTGTATGTACATATAAAATAAATAAAAATAAGATAAAACAAATTAATATTAAAAATAAAAATAAAAATAAAATAAAATAAAGTAAAATACCAAAAAATATAAAATTAAATAAATTAAAATAAAATAAAAATTAAAATTATATTTAAACATATAAAATATTATAAAATAACATGAAAAGTATTGAATTATAAAAATAAAACAAAATAAGAAATAAAATCAAGTAAAATAGTATTAATTAAAAAAAATAAATATATCTTTGAGTGAAAGATCTCCCGAACGGAATTTGACAACCAACTTCGACACTGCGTTTCCTAAGGCTTTATGACCATACAAATTATGTAACTTTCTAGCAACCTACGCAGCATTTTTTTCTCAAAGAAAATAATTAAGTAAAGTAGTAAAAAGAAAGGTTCTTTTGTGGGCTTCACGCTAAATCGGCGCCAAGCAAACAAATGCTTTTTTTTTTTAAGCAAGCCAAAAGGAGCGTGTAACTGTCTCAAGAAAAAATAAATTTCAATTAACGTCATCTGTATTAAAGATCGCCGTTCGCAGGCAGGGAATGTCAACCCCTCCGAGTGTATTTCTGGCATAGAATAAAGCTCCTCATTGATAAACCGTCAGTCGTTCTGATGCGGCTTAGTATAAACTTTATCTTTTTCCATTAATTGGAAAAACATCAAGACGCAAAACCACAAATTGCAGGAGAAGCTCGGCCGAAAATCGTTTCAGCGGTTACAAAGCGACAATTATATAATTATATAATTTAAAGATCGATAAATTAAAATTTTCTCACTTGAAATTTTCGAAAAACCACGATTTTTGTGTTGAATTAGGCGAAAAGCTATCCACGTACAAACTTTAAAACCAAACGAATATTAAAAAGGATTTTTCGGAACGAAGCTAAATTTTCTTCCATAAAAACTTCTCTTGAAGAAGACGAACATCTGGGAAAAAAATTCAGCCTTTCTGTATTGATGAATTACACTTCCTATTTTCTCAAACTTTTAATAAATGTATATATGTATGTAGATGTCATCGCACAGGGAGATCGATTGCCAAAAAAGATGCAAATACCAAAACATTTCGAAAATAAATATTATATGCCAAAGCTCAATACCCGACGCGTAATTGGTTTCTTCAGTCACTTAAGTTCTTCCCCAAATACGCTGCTGCAGTTGCATTAACCGCAAATTGTTGTGGCGTGAATCATACACTTTCCACTTTTCTTCCACCCCGAAAAAACCACTGACCGAAGCGACGCAGATTCGGCTTCGATAACTGAGGGGGAAGAAAAGCCAAAACAACATCAAAAACAAAAAAAAAACTTAAACATTTTGGCAGACAACATTGCAAATGACGCCAACATCACCGACAACAACAAGATGAAGCTCAGCACTTATCTAAACTACTGCTGAGTTGTTATTGTTGTTTTTTCTTTTTTTTTTTTTGTAAATGTTGTTATTGTAGTCAGAATTTGACTGTGATTTAGCTAAACAAAAGGTGCGAGTGATCAAAACAAATGACTAAAATAGCAGCAACAACAACAACAACAACAACAACAACAACAATAACAAACCCAATAACACTGGCAAGCAGAAGCCAAAACGCCGGCAGCCACTTACTCATCCATTAGCTTAAGTGACAATTTGCTGGCGTGAAAACTGAAAGCAACAAAGCATAACAACAACAACAACAACAACAACAACAACAACAAAATTGCAGACACAAGTGAAAAAGTTGTTATTGTTATTGTTTTCTGCTACCAGCAGGTTATCATACTTTATATGTCACACTATTTTGTTGCTGTTGTTTTTCTTCGTTCTTCCTTCTTTGTTGTTGTTATTGTCGTTTGCTGCTAACACACTGCAAAGTGATTTGTAAGCGCCAACAGAAACAGTGAGTGCACACGCCAAAAGTGTTGCCATTGCCATTGCGTTGATGGGCGATAAGTTGTTGCGGTGCAGATCGGCAGGCGGCAGGCGGAAGGCGGCAAGCAGAAGTAACTGAAAAGTCATGAAAAAAGTAGAAAAACAAACTATTACCAACAGCTATAACGCTGTGGGTCGATTTTTGTCGTTGTTCTACTCCTCTAATGCGCAACATGCGCTCACTGCGCCCACTTGCCACAAAGTGCGTTCCAAAAGGTGATATATTTTTTCGTCACCATACAACAGTCACACGAATGGCTGTTGGCACACACACTCACCCACTTACTCCCATTCAAACACATGGACATTTTTTCCTTCACCGTCACATGATGAGGACAAACACGCAAGGCAATGACAAGACGCAAGGATGTGGCGTAACAGCGAACAAAAAAAAACAGCAGGGAAAAGTCATGCTAAAAGCTGCAGTTAAGATATCAGCAGAGTAAGCGAGCGTTCAACGCACGCGGCAGCACAACTGCCGACGGTTCTTCACGTGGCCCGTACATCTAACGCCACCGCGCGTTCACGGCCACCACCAGAGGGCCTGAAATTTATGAGTGCACTTTGTGTTATCCGCACAATAGTGTCATGCAACGCGTGTGGCACGAACTGTGAGCGGCGCCAGATTGCATTAAGAAGTGAAGTTAGCCACGCAATGACCGACCGACCGAACCATCCACCGGTCCGACTGGCTAAGCGGCTAAAAGACTAAAAACCTAGCTAAACGACTGGCCATTCACACTATGTCACCGCATTTTCGCTCCCCTTTCTTTTGCTTTCGTCTTTTGCATTATATTTCTCTTTTTATCGGTCTTCTTCTTTCACTTTTTTAGGATCAACGGCTCCGTTGGCTCACTAAAGCAAAGACAACTTTTATACTTTAATATACTGTCGGCATGAAGATAGCAACGTTGGACTCTGCTAAGCTCGTCTTTGAAATTCAATAAAAAAAGTGCACAAAAAAGAACAAGGCGTAGAAGAAGAAGAATCTGAAATCCACGTTGCAAGTTTAATCGCGGAATTTCGTCATGCCCGTGCTTTTCATAAGTCTTTTTATGACCAAATGAAGATGACCATCTAATAAAGTCTAATATGTGGAAATTTATGAATGTCTCCTCACTCTTGGCTATGCATTGTGTGCGGGAACATGAAAATAAACGGTGGAATGGGAAATAAACTCCATCGATTCAAGCCGAGAGCCTCATGGCACGGAAACGGAAACTTCCACGTGGAAAGTTAATTTAACTTGGACTCGTTAACTAGTTATATGTCATGTGGCATGTCCTTAGTGTTACCAAGAATACTACATGCGACCAAAGCCCTATGCTACTACACTTCCTGCTCTCCTTTCCAGTTCGTAGAACATTGAGACGCATAAGTTTTGGACTAAAAGAAGCGGTAGCGTTCTGGCTCATGGTTTTGAGACGTCACTGCGAAATTCCAAGGAGTTTGTGGTTTGAGTGACCACCTAAGCGACCGCACTATCGATAGACATTTTGTAATTTCTTCTCCGGTGCTTAAATTGAGGCGACAACTTTTCGAAAATGGCGTAAATCTCATTCTATTGCAAGGAAGTGCATTGCTGACCTGAAATAGAAATCTTCTCAGAAAAATCTTTTAGGAATTAGGAATGCCAGAATTAGGAATGCCAGGGAGCTTTGAGAACTAGATAGATAATTGGCCAAAGTAAGCACCTTTAAACCGTGTTTTGAAGTCAATAATGATTTTGGCTTTTTATGAACTATATTTTTGAGGTGCATGTCATTGTAGAATCCTTCGACTAGAGTTTTCTTCGGCCTTAAATTGGTTTTCATTTATTAAAGCTGAAACTTCATGTGATACAACAATTAACAATTTTGGTTTGGTATAAGTACGCGATCCGAGAATTTCGCTCTCAACTTAATAAACGTGGAATAGTCCTAAAATAGTTTCTTTGTTATTCGACAATGCTTGGCGCTGTCATGACACCTTGATTGAATACCAATCGCACAAAGCCAGTTACACTTTCAATTGTGTGTGTGTGTGTGTGATTAGCATTGTGCCAGCAGAGATGGCTCAGGGCCTAAGTTCAGAAGGAAAGCGCTTTCTCTCCATATCACTGCGCTGAGAATGATCCAGAAATATTTTAAATGAGCCTCCGCTGTACGAAGAAAAGTATTTTCAAAACTGAAAGGGGCAAGTAAAAGTAAATAAAACTGGGTTAGTTGACAGGTGCAGCAGACGTGCATCTAGCGGTTCATCCTGTCTGCGGAGGTCATCGGTCCGAGTCCTGGCATGCAAAATTAGAAAATATATTTCGAAGAGCTTCAGCAGGCAAGGTCAACATCTCAGGGCGCGGAACAACAGCTCAGCCGAGAATCGCCAATTACACAATTACACAAATGACTCTGAACGAAGCTTTGTTCAGTTCATTTACCCGTGACAGCTTCAATCCGTCGCCTGTTTGTTGAAGAAACTTTTCAGGCTCAAGTGAAAATGTTGTGAGTCCCTAAAATTTCTAAAAATTTCATACAAAAACTCGAACATAAATTGAGAGAATCCTAAAATTAATTAAATTACCAACACCACAATCCTGACTCCATTACTACATTTTGACACCCTACCGCTCTCCCTCACCTTTTCCCCCTCGTATATGCAGTAATATTCATGCCAAACTAACTAGTGACACATACAGATACACTTTATGATGGTTGGGAAAAGTCCTGTTACGTGTTTCGCGTACTTTATGTAATGACATTGTCGTAGTCATCAAATAGAATTCATTGCGTCCATTTCCGCAGCAAACACGTTTTGCAAATATTTGCCAAATGACAGGAAAATTTCGCTGTTGCCAAGCTTGTGCACACGCACATACACGTACATACAAATATAAGTAAATTGGGTTAAAAGCGCGGACAAAGGAGGTCGCTGGTCAGTGAGGCATTGAACTAGTGACTAACTAAGTGTCACACACTAGCCACTTCAATACGAGAAGACCGACTAACCCACCTACCCACCGACCGACCCATCGGAGAAGCGAGTGGGC